CAAATATTAACAGATTTCTCAAAGTCAGGAAGGAAAAACGCTAACTTTGGGAGTAAGGAATGACTTCTACAATGCTCTCCCAATGCATGATCATCTTCTGCTGACCCAGAAATGGATAATACTACAAGATGGACACACTCAGGAGCTCCCCATGGAAATCATGGTACCTGTTCCTTCATTAAGAGACTGACTGAAAATACTCCAGATGACTGAAATAATATTCAGGGTCATCTGAAGAAGCTCATGTTTTGTTAGTCTTTAAGGTGCTACTAGATGATTTGTTGTTTTTTAAGTTTTTCCTGTTATAGACTAACTCAGCTACCCCTCTGAAGCTTTTGAAAATACTTGTATGTTTTATGGCAATAGCATTTAAATTGTAGGCAGGGCCTCATGGAACACCCCCTTTCCAATTCATCCCAGAGCCACCAGTAGACGATATTATTTAGTTAATATCTATGAGCACTTTGAAGATGGAAAGCATTATGCACATGCTGGTTACTTCTATGGATCTCTGATGAAATGCACCCCTCTGTTCACACCCTACATGCTACTGTAGTAATATTTTGTACAAAGCATGCTACGAACAATCATTTGAAAAAAAAAAAAAACCTGAGAACTTACTACAGGTTGGAGCTCCCTGATCCAGCACCCTCAGGACCTGATAGGTCTAGCAGTCTGTCTGGCCCCCCAGTTGGCCTGTGCCGGCTGACTTATGCTTACAGGCCGTGAGCTAAGGGACTCTTTAATTGCCATGCAGCTATTCAGACTTGGGCAAAGATGCAGTCTGGGCTCTAAGACCCTGTGGGAAGCCCCTGACCTGAAGCTGTGCCTGAACCCAGATGTCCACTCCACTATTACACAGCCTCACAGCCTGAGTCAGCTGGCATGGGCCAGCCATGGGTGTTTAATTGCAGTGTAGATACACTCAAGGAGCAGCAGGAGGGGCAGGGGTGCTAGATCCTGCGTGTAGGCTAAAGCCTTATCAGCCTGTTTGCTTTCTGAGGTCCCCCCAACACACTATTAAAACTCCATGGCTCACCTGGGCCAGAACAACTGGTTTTCTGCATATAAAGGCAGGGTCAGCATTAGGGAGTAGCAAGCAGGGCAATTGCCAGGAGTCCCACACCACAGAGCATCACAAAGCTAAGCTGTTTGGGGTTCAGCTGTGGTGTGTGGGGCAGTGTGGTTTTGGCTTTCTGTCCTGGGCCCCAGTGAGTCTAATGCTAGCCCTGCTTGGTGGGCCCCTGAAACCTGTTTGCAATCCCCTAAGAGGCCTCAACCCCTTGGTTGTGAACTGCTTACTAAAGGGCACTGGACTAACAAAGGATGGAAATGGGAGCACGGTCTGGAAAGAGCCTGCTTAAAGCTAGGCAGGTGCATTGTGCCTCTCTGCCTGAGGGATTTACCAGGTTTTTTCTCTCTGCAAGGGTATTTCAGTTTTTATCTAACTTCTCTCTCTCTGGCTACGTCTACACTGGCATGATTTTCCGGAAATGCTTTTAACGGAAAACTTTTCCGTTAAAAGCATTTTCGGAAAAACGCGTCTAGATTGGCAGGATGCTTTTCCGCAAAAGCACTTTTTGTGGTAAAGCGTCCGTGGCCAATCTAGACGTGCTTTTCCGCAAAAAGCCCCGATCGCCATTTTTGCGATCGGGGCTTTTTTGCAGAAAACAGATCTCTGCTGTCTACACTGGCCCTTTTGCGCAAAAGTTTTTCGGAAAAAGACTTTTGCCCGAACGGGAGCAGCATAGTATTTCCGCAAAAGCACTGACAATCTTACATGAGATCGTCAGTGCTTTTGCGGAAATTCAAGCTGCCAGTGTAGACAGCTGGCAAGTTTTTCCGCAAAAGCAGATGATTTTGTGGAAAAACTTGCCAGTCTAGACACAGCCTCTGTGTGCTGTCAGCATCAGAGGGAGGCTCAGGATGCATGCTTAAAAGATCAACGGTTTGTGGCAATGAAGCAAGTACAAGGGTCCTTCCTAGCCTTCTTGCACACCAGTCTGAATGTCTTGTGATGGGTCAGTTTGGCGCACAGTGTTTGGCAGCTTACCCACCTTTTACATTCAAACAGGACAAATTCCTGCACACCATGTGCTTTGTACATACTGTGCTTCACTCAAAGGTGGATTTGTAGCATCAGGTTATAACCCAATGGAAGACTGCATTTTAAGGGGGACTTCATTCATTCATCATTCATTCTGTGTTTTTTTTTACCAAGACAGCAACCTAATGGCTCATTATACAACAGCTAGAAAATGTGGTTAGTGTCAGCAGTACAGGTGATAGAGAATCTGTTGTTAGCTTTGATAATTTGTTCTAAGATACCACATACAGTTATCTCTTGATTTATTATCTAGCTAGAGGGGTGGGAACACGACTCAGGATACTGCATCAGTAGCAGGCACCAAGGTCTTTTCCCCAGGGATTAGCGATCATATCAAGAAAGCAACATAATACAACATGATCAGTGGTAAACAAAACAAGCCCCTATCTGGGGCTTCTCTCCCATTCTTGTGACCTTTGGATGTCAGCCCTACCTTCTCCAAGGCAGTCTCTTCCCTCTGCCTCCCAAACAGACATTCTGATGGCCCTTTCATTGAATAGTTGTGACTGGAAAGGGGCAGCTATGTGCAGTTAATTGCTTGTTCACCAGCTAAACTGATGTGAATCCTGCAGTCCCCACATAGAGGGACTCCTGTGCCTTGAAATCACTCTGGCAAGTCAAGGTCTATCACCTGAATAGGAAACCTCAGGCTGCAAGAGTCTGAAGCCTTCCCGCTTCTTTAGGTCACTTCAAAGGTTTTGAATTGGATGGGAGGGTATTAAAATAAGGCTAATCAACAGAACTAGGTATGCAAAGGAGTAGTGACTAATTGAATACCTGATAAGCCTATGCTTATCGGCAGGGCTCGACAAACTATGTAATCTACTTGCCTGTGGCGAGTAGATTACAACCCGGAAGAGCCGGGTTCCAGCGATCTGCGCATTCCATTCAACTACAGGCAGTCCCCGGGTTACATGGATCCGACTTACATCGGATCCCTACTTACAAACGGGGTGAGGCAATCCCGCACTAGCTGCTTCCCCCCAGCAGACCAGGGAGATGCGGAGTGGCTTTTCTCAGCAGACACCTCAGCTTGAGAATAAAGGACTGAGGGAAGTGAGGTGTGGGAGAATAAAACTGAGCTCTGGAGAAATGTTTGGCTAGAGTTTCCCCTACAATATGTACCAGTTCCGACTTACATACAAATTCAACTTAAGAACAAACCTACAGTCCCTATCTTGTACGTAACCCGGGGACTGCCTGTACTTGCATTCCACCCTCTCGCTATCTCTGTATCAAAGGCAGCAAGGGTAGGGGGAAGCAGGAGCTGGTGCTGGGGTGAGCCAGCTTAAAATCCAGTTCCCTACATCATCTCCAGGGTGCATGAATGTGCATGGCAGTGTGGATGCTCTCTTGCACAAGAAAGCTCTGATGGCCATTTTAGCCATAGGGGTTTCTTGTGCAAGAAACCCCTGTTCCCATTCACACTAGCCTTTTTGCACATGAAGGCTTACTCCTCATGGGGAGAGGAATAACTCTTGGCAAAAAGCCCTCTCGTCTGACGATCTACTGTAAACTTTCTTGCACAAGAATGGGCTTGTAGTGTGGACATTCCCTTTAGTGTGGACGCTCCGCAAGTTTTTGCGAGAGAACAGGTGTTCTTGTGCAAGAAGCCTACAGCATATACATAGCCTCATTGTGGCTCTGCAGTTTAAAACACAGTAGGGGGCAGGCTGCCCAGGTCCTACTGCCTTTTAAATTGCAGAGCTGCAGCAGGGTTTGATCCTTCACTGGGCATGAGCCAGAACTGAGCCTGGCTGCCTATCAACTAATCCAGTAGTAGAATTTTTTTTCGATCAACTACTCAATTAGGTAAATACCTGCATTTTAATTTCCAGGGCTTGACAAACTATAGAATCTACTCACCTGTGGTGAGAAAATTTCAGCCGCACACCCCATTTATGGGCGGCGCGCACATGCGCAGCTGGCGAGTGGCTTTCACCACCGTTTGTCAAGCCCTGTTAATATCCCTAACCAGAACTGCATTTTCTGATGGAATAAAATTCCATCGAAGTTTTTCAAACCAATTCTACTCCAAACCAGTCAAACAGTTAGGTGTCATTGCCACCTAACAAATGTGAGCACCACTATAACTGAGATGGAGTGGAGTTAGTACCCAAAAAGTAGATTCAGATAATGATACCATGAAGTTTTTGACAATCTGTACTCTTTTGTTTACTGTTACATAAACTCTCTTAATTCCTGAAGCCACATCTCCAATGGACTAACAAAAGTGACACTTTAAAAATGTTGCAAGTCTTGGGGGTATCACATCATGTAAATGATGGAACCTGTTTGATATCAACACGCTGGATAAGAACAGGGGCTAGATCATTTTGTTTGTATGTAAATGCCTGGCATAATTTTGTTTCTATAAGAATGAAAAATAAACGTAATATAAAAGAAAAATGTAGCCAATTAACTCTGTGGGTGATTTTAACCTAGGATATAGTTCCATGAGTGCTAAATATCTAACATATCCATAGTTCATGCCAAGTGAATTTAGTAGCCATAACATCCATAATGAACATCAGTAATAACGGAACTGGATTGCTCAGGGGATTGCAGTAATTACCTGTATTGATTTTTTTAAGTGACAGTCATGTTTTAAAAGCTGCATGATTAACAATCTTCTCTGCCTGTCCCATGAGAAACAACATGAGAGGAAGATACAGTGGCCAAAGTCAATCTATGCAGTTGTATTCAACATATGCAATTAGAATCTTTGCCAGTTTTCTACATGGCTCTTTCCACAGGGTTTAATTCTGGACCCTGAAAGCCAGTGGCAAAATTCCCTTTGATTTCAGTGACGCTTACTCATGTAACCTCCATTTTCAGAGGAAAAGAGCATTTTCAATCACTCAGTAAAAACTGACAAGGTCTTTTGAAAAACTGTTTTAAAGACCAGATATTTATTATGGCAATTTCAGCAAAACACTTAAGCATGTGATTAAATTAAAGCCATACATTGAAGTAAATGTGTTAAGCATGTGCTCAACTGCTTTGCTGAACTGGAGACTCAAGACTTTCGGAAGTTGAAAGTTAAAATGTATTTTCTTACTGCAAACCCTATTTTCTGTCATTATATATCCTCTCTAGTTTGTGCTGAGCTATTGAGCCACACAATGCAGCATTATAACAGTTGAGGAGGAGGAAAATGTATTGAGCTCAAGTTGCAAATGTTAGCTACACATGAAGTAATACGTAATGGGGCGGTGTGGGCCTAAGCTTTTATCAGCACAAGTTTGGGATATTTTTTGCTTGACCCAAGTTAGGGTGCATCATGCAAACTCATGAAACCTTTCCCTCCCTCCCCCAATATAATCTCTATATACCCTAGGTCCTACCCAAGTTATAAGAGAATAGAAAAGCTCCCATGAACCTCAATAGGAACTGGATTGGGCCCTATAAACCCTACGGTCTCAGATGAAAAGAAAAACATTTTGGAAACCTCAATTATCAGAACTGACTTTCTAGGTGTAATAACGGTTCAGTTTTAAAGTTCAATGTCCCACAATTTTCCAGAACTAGAAACAATAACCTGCTATACCACCAGACTATATTTAGCATTTAATGAGGATATTACCGTATCATTACAGTACCTTTTTGAGCCGAATGTTTTGAACATTAGAAAGGTGGTGCAAAGGCAAATAGATGGATTTCATATACTCCAGTATTAACCAAATCTAGAATACTGTTCAGCTAAGCTCTTCAAAATAAGTGGTAAAGTCTACTGAATGGTCTAAACAAAAAGTTAGTAAAATATGAAGAACCAAGTTCTTATCACCCTCATCTTAGCAATCACAAGGCCCACGAGAAAAGATGCTGCTCCGTAGATTTTTTTCATGTTACATAAAAACTTATGTTCTTTACTGTCACCCCCAAACACTTTTTTCAAATTAAAGAATACACTCTTAAGGTCTAAAAAACAATTTTTATGGCAAATGAACTGTAAATTACCAAATTAGCAAGCAAACTCTTGGTAAGGTCTTAACAACATCAGCAACTGATGTCAGAGCATATTCTTTATTCTGATCTGTGGTGATATCAATGAGGCGGATGTTATATTTCATACAGATTTTACTACAATTCAAGACCAACTTAATTCAGATGCAAGTCTCATGATAATGTTACATTTTTAATTCAATGCTTATTTGTTGTTAATACTCTTAAAAGTGGTCCAGATATCTGTGCATATGTTTTTTCCTATATGGAGACAGCTTGCTCAAAAATAAAAAATAGTCAAAGCTTGCAATACATTCTTAAGAGTTGTGCGCTTGTACATACTGTAAAGTTCTTAGCCAAATAGTGGGAATTCAGCAGAATTCTTCTCTCGCTGCTTTGTTACCATCCAGAAATATCACGTTTTCCTTAGTTATTTTATTACATGAAACATTTTGTAGAAGTAAAATAAATCTACTCATGTTTGGAGAATACTAAAGGTTTGTGATGCCTGAAATTTTTAAAACATACCCTTTATACCAAAGAACTGAATTGCTAAAGTTTGCTTTTCTGAAGTACATCTATACTCATCAGAAAAACATGGGTTTTGTGAAAAATCAGAAGAATTAGACTTAATTGCCTAACTGCTGCTAATAGCCTTTTCTGCTGTCCATTCCTCTCTTGGCTTGGAGTAGTCCCATGGTCTCCTGTTCTCAGTGTACCCATACAGTTTCCGCAATGCCACCCGGGCAGCTTCTTCCTCTGCAGCTAACAGGGTTTCTCCAGGACCTTCACTTATAAGCTTCTTATCACTAGGAGGGGGAAAAAAAAGTAAATGTCCTCATGAGAAAATTGTGAACACCACTGTGCACCATTAATATACATAACACGAGTCCTCTCACCAGCATTTCAATTTATCAAAGAAAAACATTTAAGAGCCTGGTGATCTTTCGGACAACTGTACACAAGTACATACTTGTTCAGACACTCAGATAAGAATTACAGTGAATTCCTGAAGTGCAACAGTGTTAATTCAGATTCACTTTCTATTATCAATGGCCTAAACTTTCCAATGTTAGATTTTTTTTTAACAATAGAGTACATCATTTGTGCATCATCTCTCTGACAAACAATAGTTAAGCGTCCTGTTTTTACAAAGTTTTCAGCAATAAATGTATTACAAAATAGCTGAATTAGGGAATCCTGGCTAGATATATGAGGTCATGATTTGACCACACATACTCTTGTCCAAGCCAAAACAAACAAAAATAAATCATATTAAGTCCATTACATAAACTGTATCTTTCTTCCAAAATTATTTTTACAAGGGCAACTTGCGAAAAAAATCTCATTTCATTCTTTCCTCTCCGCAGAACTGGAAACCATTTGACTTTGGATGAAAGTTTTACTAACCAGTATAATCCAACAAAGTACAGTGGTAGAACTGTATTGGCTCCTGACTGCCTTGTAAGTCTTGGTTCTGGAGCAGCTATATTCCTCTTGGCCAACTCCTCCACTAGCAAACCCATTGGGTTTATAACATTCCAGATTTCAAACAGCTCTTTTCCAATCAGTTGAGGAATTAAGAAGTCCTGGACAAAAACATTACAATAAACAGAAAGGGAGAGGAGTGAATGCTCTGGTGCCTGGTGTCCCTGCCAACAAAGTAATAAGGGATATGGGAAGAGAGGAGCAGTTAATAGTTAGTAGTTATCTTCTTTATGTGCAGTGTGCCTTTAAATAAAGGTTAATTTTTTAATGGTACCAGAGTTTCCCAGGCATTCTTACAGTGAAAAATACCACAGCTCAATAGATCTTGTGCCAAAGTACATAGTTTTCTAAATGTACATGTCTGAAATAAATGGTATTTTGACTGCTCTGTGCTTGGGAAGTACTTTAGATTTTAATTCACTTTTAGCGGGATCACTCCTTTATTCAAAATTACATTAAGCAAACCATCCAAAACTATTACTGCCATAAAAGCAATTCTAATTAAAGGGAGAATTGAAATCAGGCCTTCACAAAACCCAGATTAAAATCTCAAATATTGAAAGTGCTACTCATGATTTATACAGGATAAGTGAGAACTACAATGAGACCTCTCGCCATCTTAGACATTCAAATTGCCAGGATCAAACATTAAAATAATCTTTACACATTTTGTAAAAAGATTAAGGAAACTTCATTTTTACTTTCATTTCAAATATTTTGCTAAATAGCAATAAGAAGGATAACCCTGGAAAATGTATTCTTAACACAGTTATGAGACCAGCAGGATCCCACTATCCCTCCAATTAGCTTGCTGCTTGTTGCACTGAAAGGCAGCACAAGCTGAAACTCCTTGGCAGCAAGTGTATAGGCATATCTTGTAGCTCCAATTCACCACTGGTGACAGCAACAGACAGGACACAGAAGGTTTAAACAACAGTGGAAAAAATAGGCTTATCTGTTAATCTTAACTACATGCCACCTCCCCTTGCTGCCTCTATCAGCCTGCCCTCTCCTGCTGCTGCCTCTGATAGCATGGAGGGTGATGGGGGCAGGCTGGAGCCAATTATGTGTGGGGAGCTGGCTTTTTGCTCTCCTTGCAGGCCAGCTTCATGGACCCGCCTCCCCCCACCCCTTGCTGCCTCTAATTAGGCTTATCTGTTAATCTTAACTACATGCCACCTCCCCTTGCTGCCTCTATCAGCCTGCCCTCTCCTGCTGCTGCCTCTGATAGCATGGAGGGTGATGGGGGCAGGCTGGAGCCAATTATGTGTGGGGAGCTGGCTTTTTGCTCTCCTTGCAGGCCAGCTTCATGGACCCGCCTCCCCCCACCCCTTGCTGCCTCTAATAAAGGACCGCCCCCAGCACTAGCTCCACAGGGCTGCCTGTCCCCTCTTTGGCACTGCTGCTTCTATCAGGGACAGCAGAGCAGTAGGGGTGGGAGGGCAGACAGGGGATGCTGCCACAAAGCATCCTCTGTCCATGGTGGCCCGGGCTCACTGTGGACAGAGGCTGCTCCGCCTCTATGGAGCAGCCTCTGTCTGTGGTGAGTCTGAGCCTGCCATGGACAGAGGCTGATCTGGGGCAGGAGCCACTGTCTGCAGGGAGTCCAAGCTTTCCAAAGACAGAGACTGGAGTAGATTCTGTCCACAGGAAGCTTGGACCCCCCACGGACAGGGACTGCTGCTACCCTGCACTGCTGCCTCTATATCAGGGGCAGCAAGCAGCCAGTCTATGCGAGGAGCCGGTTTTTAAACTGGCTCCCACCTGCCATTCTGAGCAGCTGCCTCTGATAGAGAGGCAGCAACATAGGATGGCAGGGATGCTCCAGGAATGGGGCCAGGAGTGCAACCAATAAGATTTCATGCAGTTACATAACTATTCAATTACACTATATCTAACATCCTTAATTAATACTACTTTAGAAATATACCCATGATTCAGCACTGGCACTGAAGCTGGCTAGGGTAACGAAGCCCTGGAACTCTAGGCTTGACTGTCACTGATTTGCTGCTTGGCTCAAAGAAGGTCATTTAATCTGTCCTTCTTATTCCTCCAATTATAAAATAGGAATAGTATCATCTGCATTCCAAAGATGATGTGGAAATTAACTATATAGTACTGAATGGTTGTGCTAACTACAGGGTTATGTAGTAGAAAATCCAATCCATAAATGCAGCATTACAAAACATTTTGAATGAAATTATGATCCCTTTCAAATAATGAGATAGAATTTTCTAAGTAGTAGGAAGAAAGGTGTTCTTCATTAATAGCTGCTTTTTCCTACAGACATCTGAATGTCATATCAGAAGAAACATGGCTTTGGTTGTTCAATATAATGTCTCTTAGCTGACATTTTTCTGATACAAAATTAGAAACAAGTAAATGGCATAACCTCGAAGGACAGGCATCTGACCAAGTGGGTCTTTGCCCACGAAAGCTTATGCTCCTACACTTCAGTTAGTCTATAAGGTGCCACAGGACTCCTCGTCGCTTTTGCAGATTCAGACTAACACGGCTCCCCCTCTGACACTCGAAGGACAGCAACTGCTAAAATGACTTTATTCTCACAATATATTAATATTTTATTACAAAACCTTTAGACAATTGATTCCAGGGACAGACATGGTGTCTCTAACCTCTGTTGGTCAGGGGCTGGAAATGTATGACAGTAGAGGGATCATTTGATTATCTGTTCTGTTCACTCCCTCTGGGGCATCTGGCACTGTCCACTGTCAGAAGATAGGATACTGGGCTAGATGGACCTTTCGTCTGACTGGCCATTCTTATGAGATAGGGTGCAGGAAGGGGTGATGTCTGGGCAGGCAGCGGGGTGCAGGAGCAAGCTGGGATTAGGGTGTCTGGCCAGGGGAAGAGGACAAAAGCAAGGGACAGTGAAGTGTCTAGCCAGCGTGGAGGGTGTAGGAGCAAGGAAAGGTGCAGAAGCAGGATGAAGTCTCGGCAGGGGAGTGGATGGGGATGGGGGTTCAGGGTCTGGGCATGAGGGCAAGCAAGTGCACTTACTTGCTTTCACACCCTGCGGCGCTCCCAGGATCCATGGCCCAGGCACAGCCTCCTGCTGCTCCCACTGGCTGGATTCCAGCCAATGGGAACAGCAGGGAAAGCCTCCAGGCAGTGCATCAATGCACTGTTGTTTCCCCAGCTGGGGGAGGTGGAGTGGCAGTGCACAGAGCTGCTTCTGGCTCTGCTTTTTCCCCACAACTGAATGCAGCAGGGAGGCATGGAGCTGTCTTCTCCTCCTCACAGTGGGAAACTGGAGCTGGAGCACCAGTGTGGGCTCCCAGTTGAGGTGAGAGAGAGAAAGAGAGAGAGAGAGAGGGGAGGGAGGGAAGAAGGGGGAGGGGCCCTGAGCTCGAATTGTGGACCACCTGGAAGGAGGCCATGGACCACTAGTAGTCCATGGGCCGCAGTTTGAGAGCCACTGATTTAGATGTACCAAAGAAATAAAAACAACACCAGTAATCATATATATAGTAGCCCAGTGTCTGAGAGTCTGTAATACCAAAATGCTGGCTGTTCCCTCTGGGGGGATGCTGTTGCTGCACTCCCAGTGCTACATGGGGGGACGCGGAGTTCAAACGGTTGCTTGGGCTGCTTGCTCCCCCGCAGTGGCCCAGCTGAGCGGTGCAGAAGTCAGCAGAGCACCACGGTGGGAGGCAAAGTGGGGCAGGGCAGTGACGTGCAGCGTGACAGCTGCTCCAGGCCCCACCCCCTGACTGTGAACATCATCGCCCCACCCCCCCTTCACCTCCTGCTGTGGCTCTCGGATGACTTCTGCGCCACTCAGCCAGGCCGCCACGTGGGAGCAAGCGGCGCAAGCAACCGTTTGGACTCCGCACACCCCCATGTAGCACTGGGAGTGTGGAGCCCAAACGGCCATCCCCACCCCCCCCTCTTTCGCCTCCTGCCATGGCGCTTGGCTGACTTCTGCACCGCTCAGCCAGGCCACCACGTGGGAGCAAGCGGCGCAAGCAACCGTTTGGACTCCGCACACCCCCATGTAGCACTGGGAGTGTGGAGCCCAAACGGCCATTTGGGCTCTGCAGTCCCCCGAGTGAGAGGCAGAAGGGGGAGGAGAGCTGAGAGGGAGGGGGAGGAAGTAGGATGAGGGAGAGAGAGAGAGAGAGAGAGAGAGAGAAAAAGACAGACAGACAGACGGAGCGAGAGACCGGAGGCTCAGGGGAGAAGACTGACATGGAGGAGAGACCTGAAAATCCCACCTTATGACGGGCTAATTGGCTAGTTGTTAATACTTACCCTGATAAATATCCCAGTTTTCTGAGGTCCACTGCTTTCAAATAATGCTCCTATTACAGCAAAGAAAGTCTGCTGTAGCACACTAGGTGGAACAGGAAACTCTGCACAAAGTGTCAAGTCTTGTATGGATAGGTTTTTGGCCACATAAGACACAAGTTCCCGGCTGGTGAGATAATCAACGAGAGCTTGTATCCCTTCAGAGGGCATCTTTGGATAAGCATCTTCAAAGCACCGAGTGAGGTAAGAGCGTGAAAGTATTACCCCTTGTTCAGAAAGTTTGTGATTATCCTGGAGATTGAGGGCAGCTGCTTCTTTGTCTAGCCCAAGTTCTTGGCGTTTTTTCTCCTCACTTTTAATATAGCAAGAATTAACAAATGCAGTTTTGAGGAGCTCCAATGAAAAGTTTTCATGTAATCGGTGGCTAAAAGCTTGTATCTCTGCATGGTAATCCCAGTTAGGCTTCTCTGAACTACAAACACACAAAAGAGAACAAACAAACGGAGAATAAAGCCTTCAGACAATTAGTCATCTGTTCCACTAAACAGCTTATATATGAAAGCATTTATTAAAAGGCAAATATAAAACAGAGTATTTCAGACATCTTCAAGTAGGCTGATTGCTAGAGCCCTGAAAATCCACAGCTATCCCCATCTGGTCCATTTTTGTAGACTGTGGATTGGAAGTGAATACAAATTTTGTATCCATACAGGTCTCTAAATATAGGATCTCAAAAGCAGATGAGCAGTTGTCTGCAGCTTACACATCTATTGACGCTGCTGTCCCTTAACCTGCCCTTTCCCGCTCTTCAAAAAACACTTCCTGTGTGAACTCTTTTGACAAATCCAGGACTCCCAGCACTCCTTCCCACCAGATCACGTGCCCCAATAATTATTTGTTGTTTGCATTATTGTAGTACCTAGGAGCCCTAGCCTTGGATCAGTGCTAGGCCCTGTACAAACAGAGAACAAAAAGACAGTCATGGCCCCAAAAAGTTTAAGTTGGGGGGAGGGGGAGCAGAGAGAGAGAGGAGTAAAAGGAAACAATGAGAAAATATACCTCAGTGCCATAGGTCAGGGGAGCAAGTCTTTCACAATTAAAGTGTGTCTCAATCACAAAGCCCCACAATCTCCATTCTCCATCTACCAGCCTGAGTGAAGGGATTCTGCTCTGCAGCAGAGAAGTGGGGCTAGGGAGAGCATCTGCCCATAAGATGGTGTCTTTGGATTCAGATCCATGGGGTGCACCTGCCAGGACTCAAAGCAGTTAGAGGCGATCTAGGCTAGTGAGTGCATCACATGAGTGGCCCTTCATCTCAGTGGATTGCAAGATTATCATAACCAAAGCGGTCTCCTGGGATAGGGCAGTTTTGCTAAGTCCGCTTGGCCACCTAGAACTTCAGCTGTGCTGACTGAACCACAGCAGCACTTTGGCTGGAGGGAGTGCACGGCTTTCACACAATGTTTTGTGCAATCAGCACAAACCTCATTTCACATGCCCTTGCTTTAAGTGTATCACTTTTGTATTATCAGTAGGAAAAAAATAACCCATGTGGATGAAAGCCAGCAGTATCCAGCAATCCTGTGCTTCGGAAATCGCAAACAAAATGCCTCTGTGGCCACACACAGATCCCGATTACGCTGCATGTAGCCTTCAAGCCCCGGGTTGCCTACCAGTGAGTCAGAGCTTCCAGAAGGGCAAGGCTGAAGCACAGCTGAATCCCAGAATGCTCCTCCCCTTTGACTGAACCCCTGAGTCTCAGCAGCCACATGCCCTTTCTCTCAAATTTCTGAAGTCTGTCTATGTAACTTAGAGGGTCAGTAAGTTCCGCCACCCTGCCACAGGCTGCAGTCTCAGCGCACCAGCACTAGGAATGTAAGCAACCATTCGGTTACCAAAGCTGATCAGGTAGCTGAGTCATTACTCAACTAGTCACTCCCCCCACTTAATGCCTCTGTATGAGAGGCACAGGGGAGACGGGGGATGGGGGGACACAGAGGAGCCAGAGGCACAGCAGGGGAAACCGTCTAGACTGCTGAGACTCTGCCTTTGAAACGGACAAGAGCCGCCTGAGAGGCACATCAGTGGAGAGCCCAGGCAAGCAGGGACTGAAGGAGTCCCAGGTGGCTCTTACACATTGCGAAGGCAGAGGTGCAGCGGGATAGCAAGCGCGCCCCCTTATCGATGAATCGAGTAGGCGATGGACATTCCATCCACTGCCCGATTAGCTGATGTATTGAAATGTAACGTTCCTAACCGGCGCTCGCGTGCAGGCAGGTTTTTCAGGCTTTCGGCAGAGACGCTCGTGAGGGAGGATTCTGGAGAAGGAGAATGCGGGGACCAGGCACCTTGTCTGCCCTAAAACCGAGCTGCGGGGCAGCAGAACCAAGCGCAGGGCTGGGCGCGCGGCAACGAAAGGAGACAACAAAGAACAAGGTCGGTGCGGGCCGGCGCCCAGCAAGAGTCAGAGGGGGATAAAGCCGCAGGGCCGGGAGGGGGAGCAGAGACCTGGGACCTTCCTCCACCTGCGCCGGACTCGGGGCCCAGGCGCGGCGGAGCTGGGGCCGCGCCGGAAGGGGCGGCCAGCGCACATGGGGAGGGGCAGGAATGGGGCAGAGAAGAGAACGGCGCGGGGAGACCCGGCCGGGGAGCGCCAGGCCTGGCTCTTACCGGCGCATGGCGGGCGCCTTCAGCCGCTCCTGCTCCAGGTAGGCGCGGAGCCACAACTTTTTGTCCCGGCGCTGCGGCTGTTGCAGGCAGAACGAGCCCCGCCCGGCGCTGCCGGCAGCACCGAGGAGGCGACGCGGCACCCTCAGTAACAGGCCCTGCAGCAGCCCTGTCGCCATAGCTGCTAGGCGCGGGCCGGGAACAGGACGGAGCTCCCCGTGTAACCAGCCACCGGAAACAGCCCTCGGCCCTTCAGTTCCGGGGAGAAACGTTCCGGGCGCGCGGGAACTGCACCTCCCAGCAGACCCTCTGGGCCCGCCTCTCCCCTGCAGGGGCGCCTGGGCCGGGCAGGAGTTAGGTTTGACCCCGGAGAGAAGCGGCGCGCGCAGCTAACTACAGCCGCGTCAGCGAGACACTGGGGGCGGGGCCCCGGCCTCAGGGTGGGCCGGCCCCGCCCCGGGGGAGGCCGGTTCCTCGCCTTGGTGCCACAGGGCCAGGGCACGTGGGCGCCGCTCGGACCCAGGTTTCGCGTTGCCAACCTTCCAGGGCTGCCCCAGGCCCCCCGGGAATTGGGGGTTGTGTCCTGCAGAGAAGCCCCCAGGGACGTGGCCAACCGAGACTGGCAACCCTCTGCACCCCCCGGCCAGAAAGCGGCAACGCGGCCCGACCCGGCCTGAATGCAGCAGCGCCGCACCCCGTTCACTCTTCCCCGTAGCGCTAGGCACGCACTGCTGTCCTGGGTCAACGGAGCGCCCGCACTGAGAGCTGCTCAGATATGTTCTGAAAATAAAGACGGGCAGAACACACTTCTGCTTCCATCACAACGCGGAGCACACACGCTTTTGGTTTTAATGAGTGCGTGGCAGTGACTATACAATAATCAACACAAAATAGTTCCTTTTGATTGGAAAGTGCTACACTATTATATCTTTGATACACCCCCCGAAACCACTTTCCAATCAAAAGGAACTAAGTGCTACACTATTATATCTTTGATACACCCCCCCACACGATTTTTTCCCCTTTGACTGCCTTTTAGAAAATTCCTCCCATCTTTTAAATGGAATTGCTGTAAAGTTTAAGAATAAGCACATAGTGAATCTCAGTAAGTTTCCAAATCGGGAACAGTAAACTGCAAATTCAGTAAACTTCTGTTTCTACTCTTGAGGTAGATAGCTATCTAACCTCTAGGACACAACATCTTTACCTATCAATTTCATTACATAAACCTAGTTTTGGGGCAATGATTCTGGAAATGCTTAGCTAGAGGCAGTGAACAGAGTATATTTAGCATGCTGAAGGAAGAAGTTTTTGTTTGAAAACATAGGATTTCTGCACATTTGAATGAAACGGTATGTAAAGTCCCATAAGGCAAGTAATGAAAACCTTTTACAAACTTAGATTAAATTATGCTTTGGTTTGACAGATTTATTAAATACAACTACATTGGTACCTTATATTTCATAATCTTTAGATCACTCACAGACTCGCTTAAAAAGATTTTTTATAGAAAAACATCTGCAAAATTAAAGCTAAAATATGAAAATACATATTATGCACACCTCTGGATAATCTGCTGAATCATGTTAGCAAAGAATGCCTTTCATTCAATCTGTACATGTGCATAAACAAATGATATATTTATGAATTAAGGGCTTTTTTAAAAATCTGGCACAATACTGTAACTAGTTTGGCTAAAGGAAAACTAGTGCAATAAAGTTTAACCATAAAATTACTGCAGCTAACAACAGAACAATAAAAAACCCTCATACTTGCATTACATACTTTTTTTTTTTTTTTTTTTAAACACAGATTTTCTTTTCCAAATCCATTCTCCTCCCACCACAAGAGAGACAATGATTATTTCTGCAGGCCACCATTTTTATGTAGCAGAAAAGCAAATTCTTTTCCAAAAATCAGTCTATTCATATGTACACATTTTGACATGCAAAGGGACAATACTGTAAGTATGTAAGTACAAACTGATAAAAAATAAATATTACTGAGCAACAGGATGTCCCTTTAACACTAACTTTACAGACTTTCTGTGGCAGAAGTTCAGTGCATGGATTATAAAACAATTCAGAGACAATTCAGAGACAAAAGATTTTGTAAATCTTTATATTTCTAGCTAATAAATCTTTTGGAGAACTGTGTCTAGCGTCGAAACCATAGCCAGCTATTGAGTAGCCAGAAAGCTACAGTAATTGAGTACATGATCATTTCTCTTTTAGCACGTTCTTTGTTTTCTTCTTCCAGAAGCTGTAGACGGCGATTAAGTTTGATTATCTAAAAAAACAAAGTGTGCTTTAGTATAAGACTGCTAGATTGATTTGAATGCACAACCTCACTGTTTAGGATGTTCATTGACAGAGAACAAGTTTTTCCAGTTTGAGTCTTTTATGAGGGTTCCTCTTGAACAAAGCTGGGTTCCTTCTGTTACACTGTGGATGTTAAATTTCGATTGATTAATCGAATAGTTGATGTATTTGATTAGTCGATAGAGCGCTTTTTGCCTTTGAAGTGTAGCAACAGCCATAGGGCTGTTATACACTTCAAAGGAAAAAGCACTTCTGGGAGCATGGGGCAATGCCGCGGGGAGCCCAGGATCAGTGGGGAAGTCCCTAGCTGACTCAGGGCTCCACGCAGCATACAGCCTGAGGATACTCCAAGCGGGCTCTGGGCTGCACGTGGTGTTTCAAAGCGGCAGTACCGTGTGAAGCCTGGGGTCTGGCCCCAGGCTACATGCGGCACTGCCCCTTTCAAGCACCCTTCCTCCCACCCACCTTGCTGCCTCTTTTTGATAGACACAGCAAGGGTGGGGGGAGCGACTAGCTGTTCACATCCCTATGTTACACGGTTATGCTATATTTAACTCTTTTCTTCTTTCCTTGTCAATTAGTCATTTCTTCCAAGACCATAATACACCGTACTCGTTGCTCTTCTGAATCCCTTTGTATACTGAGATGCTCAGAACAACAGAATATTCTAGATACAGTGTGCCAGTAGGGATGTTAAATCATGTTTAACTGGTTAAATGTGGCTGGGTGGACTGCAAGTCAGCCCCTTTCCCTGTTGCCACTTCCAGTCCCTCCTTCCCCCACTGCTGCTCTGCCTCTCCCCCCCCCTTGCATGTGAAGCTGCCAACTCCCAGCCTGCAAGCCCATGGGGACTGGGAGCTGGCAGGCCTCCCCCCACAAGCCCAGTGGACTGCAGACAGAAACTGCTCCCAGGTAAAGGTTAACCATTACTCGCTAAGCATCACCCGTTAAGGGTGATGGTTACCCATTCACATCCCCATGCACCAATGAATGCAGAGATGACTAATTACCGTAGCTATGTCGTCTGCCTTTGCAGACTCAAAATTATAGTGCAATCACATATCTAATCTGATCTCCCAGTTTCAGCTTTCAATCTTTTTCTTCATCTTACTAGTGAGCATATTTTAAATACCTGTCTTCTTAAGGAAGCAGCATCCACAACTGACATGTCATCTGGAGCTCCTTCAAGCGTTGTGTCCATATTTGAAAGACCGTATCTATCAGGGAGGGGAAAAAGAAGTTTAGATGCTCTACATGTTGAGAGCAGAGTAATTGGTACAGTATTTGATTTTCTCTGTAACAAACAATTTTTTTAAAAAAAATAACCTCTTTCCCAACTTCAGAGCATGAGCCAACCCTCCCTTCTCAGTGGTTACACCTACCTATTGAACCTGCTCCTCTTTGAGATGTGCATTTGAATTTAGGTGTGTATGTGACCATGTGTAGTCAGAGACTTTTGCCTTAGTCCTTTGAGTGCCACGCTCATGCGGCGGTATATTGGGTGCTATCAACCCTTCATCGTCTTAGTTTCTTCTTGCTAGCAACTCCAGCATAGAGGCAGGAGGATGTGTAATAAAATGGATGAGCAATACATCTCAAAGAATAACAGTTACAAAAGGTAGGTTTTTCTTCTTTGAAAGAATGGAATTGACATGAGCAAGCAAAGCAGCTCAAGCAGTGTCCTCGGAGGCCATCTTGAAGTTCACAGCTTAGCTGCTTGCAATACTGCTCTACTGAAGACAACAGGCCTGCTCGGTAACCACATAATGGGATGTCAATGTATCACTAGGGGGTGCTCTACAGGTGTCTTGGATAGGCACCAAAGAAGCTTGAGCTCTGGTTGAGTGGGTGGTAACAATCCCTGGAGGTGGGCACCTTCACCCGGTCATAGCAGTACAGGATGCAGTACTGATCCAAGAAGAACAGCTGTGTAGATTTGTGAAATGGGCTTGGACTGTTCAATGTAAAAGGTTAGAGCTATTCTGACATCTAGGGAATACAGCCAACATGCCTTCTCCAACTTAGGGGTTTTGGAATAAAAGATGGGCAGATAAATGTCCTGACTCATATGAAACTCTGATACCATCTCGGTCAGGAAAGCCAGCTGTGTATGAAGTTTGACTTTGTTCTTGTAAAAGACCGTAAAGGGTGGTTCCAAGGCAAACTCAGTAACCCTGCAGGTCGAAGTTATTGTAACCAAGAATGTGATTTTCCAAGAAAAGAGGAGGAGAGTACCGGGAGCCAGAAGCTCAAAGGGGGTTTGCACACAATGAACCAGGATAACATGAGCTGTAGGCCCCCATGGAGGGCCTGATGTGCAGGTGGGGGCACTTAAAGCTCTTGAGGAACCTGGCAGTCATGTCTTGGGTGCAAAACAATCTGCCTTGTAGTGGTAGATGGAAAGATGAAATAGCAGCCAGATGGACCTTAATGATGACAGAGATAGGTCTTGAAGATTGAAGTGCAGAAAATAGTCCAGGATTAAATGCAGTGAGGCCCAAATGCCTTTAATCAAGGACTATAACATACACTGCCTCCACTTGGTTGTGTAGGTCATTATAGTGGAGGGCTTTCTGCTGCTCAGCAAGATTTGCTGGATTCTAGCTGAGAACTCCTGCTCTCCCTCGCATTTAGCCATGTGGCAGCCAAGCAGTCAGGTTCAAAGCTGCCAAGTTTGGGTGCAGGAGAGTGCAGTGGTTTTGTGTCAGCAGATCTGGTTCAAGTGAGAGAGCCAAAATGAAGCAGCCACTAAGAGGTCTAGCAGTATGCCGAACCAGTGCTAGCATGGACAAGCTGGTGCTATGAGGCTCACTTTACCCTGTTCTGCTTGATATTCTTGAAGATTCTGGGGATCAGCGGAAATGGGGGGAAGGTGTATATTAGAGCTTCCAACCATGGGAACATAAAAGCATCTGATCCTCTATTACAGTGTTTCTTAAACTGTGTTCCGCGGCACATGGCAGTTGGAGGTGTGCCGCGGAGAACAAAATAATTCAAAATGGCCACTCTCAAAGGGGCAGGCGATTATTTTTTTTGCTCAATAACTTCCCCCAGTCACCCTGACCTTTCTATTTATTTATTTTTTTTGCCCAATAAGAATCCTTGGTGTTCCTCAGAAAAAATATTGTTTGGTGTTCCTCAGTCTTAAAAAATTTAAGAAACATTGCTCTATCAGATCTTCAAAAGGAAGAGAAGGTTTGGCATTTCTTGTTGTATCTGGACCAAACAGGTCTACCTTGGGAGTACCCCTCCTGCACAAGATGATGCTGACCATCTCTGGATGGAGAGAAAACTTGTGGTGAGATAAGAAGGTCTTGCTGAGGCAATTTATCAAAGTATTGCTAGTATCAGAGATGGTGCTCACAGAAGTCCCATAGCCTGAGGGCTTCCTGGAAAAGGGCAGACAACCTGGCTCTGCCTTGCTGTTAATATAGAACATAACCATTATATTGTCCATCAGGATCCGGACAACTCTATTCTTTAAATGTAGTAGACAGATGTGGCAGGCCAAGCTGACTGTTCTGAGTTCCCAGACATTGATGTGCAGTGAACAACTGAGGCGGCACCAATGACATTTCATGATGAGATTACCTACGTAGGCTCCCATCTCAAGTCCAAAGCATCGGAGACCAGGCTCACTAACGCTGGGAGATGGGAGAAGGGACTCCCTTCAGCACCAATGTAGGGTTTTGCCACCATGCTAATAAATGTGTTCTAGGACTTTGACTAGATGGTCTATGCTATGTCTGTTGAGTATGTAGTCTGATACCAGCCACATTTGCTGTGGCCTGAGGTGGACCCGTGCGGGCCAAACCACATATATACAGACTGTGGTGTGGCCCAACAGCTGCAGGCATATACGAATGGTGATGAAAGGGCAGGCCTATATATACACATTAAGATGGGGCATGGTCCAGAACCAGGCCTCAGGGAGAAAAACCCTGGCCTTGATAGAGTAGTGGATCTCTCCACTGAACTCTGTGTAGGGATGTAAAATCCCATTTAATATGTTAACTGGTTAAACAATATGTTTAACTGGCCTGCTGTGCACTGCAGGCAGGGGGCTGCTCTGACCAGGCTGGGCCTGCTGCACCATGCCATGAGAGGGATCCTCCAGCTCAGCTAGTCTGGAGCACCTCCCCTCCCCGCCCCACGGCACGGTGGGTCTGGATAAGCTGGAGTGGCGTTACATAGGATGCTCTGGTGAGGCTGGGTACCGGTTAAGCCAGTAAGCCAATGCTTATTGGGTAATGGTTAAACCTTTATATCCCTAACTCTGTGCTGCGCCGGGACTAAGGTTGACTGTAGTCATTTATCAGTAGCCCCAAGTTGCGACAGATGGAGCAAGCCACGTTGAGATGACAACATACCTGATCCCAGGATTGGCCTTTTATTAGCCAGTCACTGAGATACAGGTAAATCTGCACACCACTGTGCATCAAGTAAACGCTCACTTTCACTATACACTTTGTATACACTCTTAGTGCTGATAAGAGGCCAAAGGGTAGTGCCGTGAATTGAAAATGGCAGTGGCCCAACAAAAACAAACTCCCTGTGCCCTGGGAAAATGGAAATATGCACCCTTTAAGTCGAGGGCAGAGTTCCAGTCTCCCAGTTACAGGGAGGGTGTAATGGAGGCAAGGGAGACCATGTGGAATTTCAACTTCCTCATGGCTTTGTTGAGGCAACTCTGGTTTGGAATGAGTCTGGGGCCTCCTTTGGCTTTCAGGTTTAGGAAATAATATAAATAGAATCCTCTCTCCTCTCAGGTCTATAAGGACTTTCTCAACTGCTCCCTGGAGCAGGAAGTTCTTGACTTCTTGCACTAATAGTTGCTCATGAAAAGGATCAGGGAAGATGGAGTGAGAGGAAGGGTCAACCACAGATTCCAAGGTGTAGCCCAGAGAAACCATGTTGAGCACCCTACAGTCCAAGGTCAACTGCAAGAAGGCCAACCAGAAGGGGCATAAATGGTTGAGGAAAAAGCAGGGGGTTAGATCTTGGGCACTGACTGAGGGACTGTCCTTGGGCATATCCTCAAAACACCCACTTCTGACTGCCCTGATTTCGAGTGGCCTGACTGGGCAGAGGAGCTGTTCCTTAACCCCCTTGTCTTTCTCCTTCCTTTTATGGGAGCTGGACCAGGGGACACCCCACAATCTTGACACAGTAGTCTGGTGTGGGGTGTGCAGGCAAAGACTGGAGGATGGTATGGAAGTCTAAGTCCATACAGCCATGTATTGGTCAGGTCTAAGAAGAGCCCTGTCCCTTCAAAAGGGAGATCCTGGAGGGGTAGTCTGCATCTCCTGGGACAGCCCAGAGGATTGTAAGGAGCAGTACTTTATGACCACTACGAAGCAGCTACCTTAACTGCCAAATCCATATTGTCCCAGGCCTTCTGAAGGGTGCCTCTCACCACCACTTTGCCCTCATCCACTAAGGTGGCAAACTCTGGGGCTTGTTCCTGAGGAAGACCCCCGTTGAACTTGGTAATGGAGTCCTACAAGTTAAAGTCGTACCTACCGCTAAGGGCATGAAATATCATGACTGGGTCCCTTTCAGTTGCTTGCCAGTATTTTTTTTAATCCTGAACTCATTAACACCACTAACTTTAGCTCATATTTTCAATATTCAGTTTTCACACTGAAAAATACTTCTGGTTAGACATCTAAAATTGCAAGCTGGCTGTTGAATAAACGTTTCTGCCAAATAAGTCTATAATCTTTTGGTATCTTCATTTTTGGGGGTGTCACTGGCCTGTCACTGTTTTTTGACAGCAGAAATTACCAGGATCCCTGAAGGAGGTATATGGGATATACACATATTCAGATCCCTTTGCCGGACATAATATTTCTTTTCCACTTTCTTGTAGGCAGGTGGAATGAAAGTGGGAATCTGCAACACCTTCTTGGCATTTTCAGGACCCCTGCTAGATGGGCAACATGACTCAAGGCAGTATGGAGGAGGGAAGAGATAGATCATCAGGACTTCTCTGATAGCTCTTCAGCCTCCATGTTAGCAGCCACCTTTTTCAGCAGTGCCTGGTGCCCCTTGAAATCATCAGGGAGGCTGCTCGCTTGAAGTGCTCACCACCTCCTTATCCAGAGACAATGGAAGATGACTGCACCACAGGGGAAGGGAAGGCTCCTTGGGAGTCAAGGCCTGTAGCACTTGTCTTACATTAGTCTTGGCACCATGCTTTGATGCTGGTACTGGC